GAATCTGGAATAAATAAAATGATGTACGCTGTATATACGCGACATTCCTCCGGAGGACGTACCGCATTTCCGACAAACCGCGACGTTTCCGCTCTTCCCCGTCCAATATCTCGACGAGTTCGAGCGTGGAAAAAGGAAACTCCAATGCTCTTCCGGTGGAGGATTCTTTTGCGGCTTGAGAAAACCGAATCTCCATCGTTACCGCGCGCGCGCGCGCGCTGCCGTGTCGTCTCTACCTACCCCTTGCTTGGCAGCCCCGGCGAATAAAGTGGGTCACAGCAACGGAACGTGAACACAACGAAATGTGCATATTAGGAACAGAGGAGCTGCATTAACTCACGCTCTCGCGAAGAGAAACGCAAATGCCTGATAATTTTCTCGGTGCGGTAAGTTTTACCCAACGGGGGAAAACGATTTTCTCTTGACCGAGGAACAGATGGGACGACTGACAAATCAATAGATCTATAAATCAAATAGATAAATATCAAATGTGCGTGTAGCCATTTATACAATAAAAGCGTTATTTTTCTAAATTTCGCATTAAAGTAATATCAAAACGGATTATCATATATCGTTCTTTGCAGCAGATGAGCCATGTTGAGAGGAAGTCTGTGTTGAGAGGAACGAGGAAAATGAACGAGGATGAAGGCAAAGAGACGAGAAATTTCAATTAGAAAAACCAATGCATTTTCAGTGAATATTTTACGAGTGACGACTATACTCTTACCAACAGTTGAAGGGAGTGAGATCAACGACATTCCAAAAATCGTGGCTCTCTTGGCTCTGTAGGAGAATCGCTAAGGCGAGACTGATCAACGGCGCGCCCCAGGCGAACAGACTGTACTTCATGTACGTTGGAGGATCGTCGCGACGAGGTAACGACGCCACGGTAGCGTAGAGGTGATGGCACATCGCTACCAACCAGCAGACCACTGATACCCGAAGATACTGCAGGCTCAGACCGAGCGAGATGCAGAGCTCCGAATCCTGAAAATTCAAGAGCGAATGATGTATTTAATGTTGTGTCGACAAAAATCCATTGTCTCAGAGATGATGGCAACTCTTCCTATGACGTAACAGAGATCTTCGATAGTAATTTGATGAAACTTGATTGAAATTGTAACTTCAATTTCAAAATAATCTGCAATTTATTCAGGATTAAAGCAGTGCAATTAACATATTTGCACTTGTGTATTTGAAATATAATATTACACATACAATATAAATCTAAAAATAAAATTTTAAATCGAGAAAAGATTTTAATACAAATATTATAACGCGTAGACATAATTGGATTATAATATAAGAATAAAATTTCAAAATTGTGAAAATAGTAAAAAAATTAACATCTTTATTTGTATTTTTATTATATAATGTATAAAGACTTTTACTCCCGAATAAAAGCAAAAGTGAGAAAAATGTAATAACATTGATTTGAGTTAATCTTCTATTTCTCCAATATGAAAATTAGTAAATTATTCTCAATAAATGGAAAATATAAAGAAAACATAAATAATAAAATAACGTAATAATCCATATATATCGAACGGCACCTATACGTAAGATATTCGGTTTTTCCGCTCGATTTGTGAGTTCTAGGCCATGAATTTCGCATGTACACGAATCGAATCGTCCAGCGATATTTTTCAGTGTAGATAAACGTCACCGTCAATTTGCTCCATGACGAACGGCGAGTATGAGTAATTTGGGATAGTAGCCTAAACGTGTGCGGCTCGCGGATACTACGGATATATAGCCGGCGAATTGTCCACGTTGAAAATCCCACAATGCCGATCGATATATCTATCTCGAGCGCAATATCGCAAAATAATCGATCAGCGCTGACGTTAACAAACACGCTGTTGATTCGCTAATTTATAGAACAGGCCGCATTGGATAAATAGCGTGGCATTAATATTATTGTGTAGTAATGACGTATGAAAGCCCTTAATTCTCCCGTTGTACCTTCACGGCCAAAATAATTTGCCGCAAACTGTATAATGCGCATGCATACACACACACACACACACACACACACACACACACACACACACACACACACACACACACAC